GCAAAATCAGATCACATTGTACCACCGTACCACTCTGAAATTACAGAAGAGTTGAAGCTTGAAGTCAGTGGAGAAAACATACTGCATGCACTCAGATAAATATGCAGGGCTCTTAAGTTATATGTGTAACAGACAAGAAGTGTATGAGACCAGCAACATTTAGTTGCAGCTTCAATATGGCTCACAATAGTCTAGTGACACTATGATTTGCTTTCTTTATTTCTTCAATGAAATATTTGAGATCAAGTTCGTAAAAGAGCAAATGTAGTGAAGAAAGACAGTCTATTTTTGTCCCTAAGGTGAATGAATGCCATCTTTTCTTTTCCACAGAGTGTAAAAGGAACAGAAAAATAAGATGAGGAGAAAAAGGAAAAGCTGAATTAAAATATGCTTGGGAAAAAAGTCTTATCTTCCAGGTAGCTGCTGTTTAGCTAAGGGAAATAAAGCATCAATGCAATCCTGGAAGTATTAATCTTAATTTTAATTTTTTTTTTAAGCAATCTTGAAAATTCAGAGTACAAGCTAAGAATACCTACTATTATTGTGATTACTGGTAATTTCTCACTACTGGATCCTGTATTCAGGTACATCAGCTATACACAGCTTTGCCAAATATATAATGTTTTGGCTGATATTTACCATGCCAGTTTTCTGCAACAGATTACTTTTTGAAATAAAATTTTAGCCAAAATGGTTTACTCAATCCTGAGTCTGAAATTTGGCATGGTGCCTGAGTTTTGTGTCAAGGGGTTCCTTTTTACTATTCCTGTGAAATATGCTCACATTCATTCATTGGAAAATTTACTTGGAAAATGTGTATTATATAAAAATAGGATTTTCACTGAGCATGCTCCAGCTTCAGACTTCCACGAGGCAGGAAATTAAAGAGGTGCGAATCTGAATCACGCAGATTTGGGTACGTTATATTCTTCCATTTTGCAAGCAAATGATGAAATCTACTTTTAGAATTTCTTTTTCAATCACTCTGTTTTGTAATAGTAACTTAACTTAGGTACTATTTACCAAAACTATTCCTGAGAACATCATGTGGGACTCTATTTAAGCCTTTATAAAGTCAAGACAGACCACATGTATTGTTTCCCTCCAGAGTAGTCATAAAATGGAAATGAGGCAATTTTGCTATAGTCTCTTCTTAAACCCCCACCCTGATAGTTTCTTATCACTTTATTATTCTCTCTATAATTAAAAATTATTTATTTATTAATCTTGGTGTTTACTTAATCTTGTTACTTTTCTGCTATCAAAGTCAGGCCGACTGGTCTGCAAGTCTCTATGTCTCCCCTTGATCCTCTCTTAAAAAAAAAAAAACAAACCCAAAAAGGAAAACAAGCTGCTATGTATTCTCTCTCTGTAATTTTACCCATCTACCTGTACTTCTCAAACGTAACTTCCACTAGCTCCTAAATACTGCAAAAACTAACGTTTAAAAATATTTCAGCCACCTTCCTTCCATATTCTGGTTTGTGTTTATAACCTCTTATCTTACATGTAATGTGGGATGTAATTTCATTTTTTTGATAACTGGAGCAAACAAAAAACATGTAATCTATCCTTCTCACTTGCTATTTGCTCAATTTCCACAGTAAACTATGAATTATTACTTGCCTTCATACCTTCTACTCTCTCCTACTACTAAAGTATTCAGAGATTTTTTTTTCCTTCTTGTTTTCATGTCTTTTTTTTTAGTTGTAACTGTTAAGAAAAGACAAAAGCAAGTATCTTTTTGCATATGAACTTCTTAGGTCTAAGAGGTGCACGTGTAGTCAACACACTCCATCTGGCTGAAGAGCACACAGGTTTAAGAGCCTCACCAAAAGCAACATGAAAAGGCATCTCCAGCTCAAAGAATTCAAACTGCTGATCCAAGTAAGAGTTGACCACAGCCCATATAAACTCCACATTAGTGCCACAATCCAGAAATACTTCATAATCAAACACTCTCTTCCCTCTTTCAAAATAGTCGCAGAGCAACTCCTGCATACAGATCCATTTACATGTTATGTTGCAATTTCAGAACTTTTAAGTCTCTCTTCTAAAAGTATGGCACAAGTTGTTGGCAGGGATTGGGAGGTTCTGTTACCACCCTGCAGGGAAGTGAAGGCAGGGGAACCAGCAGCTGGGGCAGGTGTCTCTTGGCCACCCTTTATACACCAGTTATCTAACCAGGTAATACACGCATACCTACAAACCATCTGCAACAACTTTTTTTCCCATTATCAAGCTGGATAAATATGTATGCATTGCAATGACTTTTGGGAGATCTAAGAAGTCGAAATGGAGTTATTACTGGAAATTATAAGGGGAAGTTGTAGGGAGTATGAAGGACCTGAAGGAGAAACAACTGACAGGAATCTAGGCCTTATTAGCTCCTTTGAATAGAAAACTTTTTAAATAGAAAAATGTATTCTTCACCTGAAACTGAAGTGCACAGAAAGAAACACTTGGCTTAAAATTTATAGAAAAACTGTCATAATCCCTAGCTAGTAATCAAGATGCAAAAACAGAACTCTCAAATGTGGTGGGTTTTTTTCCCCAAGAATTTATAAGCATATAAAATTGGACATAATATGGAAAATTCTGTTGAAACCTTAACTCTACTGTTTACTGCCAAGTGAACGTAAGTCATCTGTATCAAGCTTTATTTCACATGTAGTGGCTCATTTACTCAGGACAAATGAAACTTCTATTATTTGATGTCATTTTCTATTTCTCATTATTGGCTGCATTTCACCGTACAGCACCATCTGTTTCTATGAAATCTGTTTCACTACAATAAGCTGAGGCAGATACTGTACTATATCATGGGTACTAGTGTTGGTTATTTCCCAACTAGTCTGTAATTCTGAAGTCTAAGAAATAAAATCATTTAGGTGGTGGGCATATACCTGAATATATATACCACTCATCTGAAGTGGAGAGGCTGCACAGTTGTATCCCAGTCCCATTTAATGTGAAATCCTAGCGAGTACACTACACTGTGCAGAGGCAGTGGTAAAAGGTATAGTCATTGAAATCCTGATAAATCCTCAGCTACCTAGTACCAGCTTTTCCTCTGGCCTTTAATGAGCTTTTCCTGGGCTCTTCCAACATCTACAACACATACGTGCATTTAGGTACATAAATACTTAGAATTCTGTATGAATCAATCTCATACCATCTTCCATCTGGTAATTTCAAGGTACCTCACAAATATTCAGGAAAAATTTGTCAATTATAAGGTGTTTTCATTAGAGATATGCGAAAGAATAATTTTTAGTGTTTTAACAAATCTGTCTCCTGGACAAAATTTGCTGTAAAATTACCATTAGGATCACTTTTATAATTATTTTACAGATAATCAAATTTTCATTAAAATTCTAAAATTTATAATTTTTTTATCTAAAGAGTAAAATACAGGTAAAATCAATTAAAAACAATTGAAGTGAGCACAGAAATAAAAATAAAATAAAATTTTTAAAAATCAGATTGTTTATGACAACAGAAAGAGGAATGATCCAGTATTAAAGCAATGGAATTCCATTGCGAGTGAGCAACTGAATAGGAGACCTTGGCTAATCAAGGACACATGGATTATCTAATAATTTAATACACAGATTTGGAGATTCAGATTATGGTTTTTACACCAGTACAATCTTCCTGTTTGACCTCGAACAAGTTATGTGAGCTCTCTGCAACAGATTATCATGTATAAAATGATGCTAGCTGTCCTTTTCTGTTTCCAAGGAGTAATGTGAGAAATGAAGTGGAAATGATCTGCTACTATAGTCGAGTTATTAAGATATTGTACCTTTTGTAACAGATATTATAATACCCTTTATCATAGAGCCAACAGACAACTCAGGTTAAGTGTGCTGATGAAATACTGTCTAATTTACTAATATAGATGTACAAAGCCAGTCATATTGCATTTGTTTTAACTTTATGATAAACAAGGAATGTTAGAGATTTTCTTCTTACAAGTGTTTTTTTAAACAATAGAAGGACAGTTAATAGATAATCTTTGTTTATGGTCACTATAGAAATCTCTTCATAAGTGACTTTAACCTGTACAACCCCAGGTAAGAGTATTTGAGAATTTTCATAGAACTTCAGATATTTTTCTGTTGTTTTAATTGGCTTTTGTCCACCAAATCCCAGTTATACCTCACTCTTACCTTCCTTCTCTCTGTCATAGCACATCACAGTTCTCATTCTTTTTAAAACTGCATGATTGAAAAATTATCTGTTTATTTATTTATTCAGCATCAAGCTTGGGATCACAGGGCAGAATCTAAGCGCAGCTTAAAGTGTTACTGCCAAACCTCCAGACAATGATTCAAACTACAGTACTGAATTAGAAACTGCTGAAGTTCAGTTGGGAATTCTAAGTTTCACAATTTTGTTTGATGATTGCTAGAGCAAAAAAAAAGAGACACCAGTAATATCTCATCTACATTAGTGACTGGATGTCTCTGCCGATTAATTCCAGATCCTGCAAAGCACTGAGTAAAACCAATAGGTTTCAGGAATTGCTTGGCTTCTTGCAAGAATATTCCTTTTTTTAAGCTAATAGCTGTTACACAATCATTTATTTTATTGGTAAACCTCAAGTACATATTTACTTTTAATTTTAAGTCTACTATATAGCAGCTTAAAAATGTATTTAGCATTTAAATAGTTGCATTTTTCCTTTATTTTTAAAAACGATTTTTAGATATTATATCTATTATAGGTTGACTAAACAACTTCACAGAAACATCTGAAACAGTAAAACACCATCATAACACTACTCAGTAATAGGCTTGTACAAATAGTGTAACAAGTCTATAGATACGACATCTCTTCCGTTTCTTGTGAAGTTTCTAGAGAATAGGAAAAAAAAAAGATAAACTGTGATGTGGAGTTCACCACATGCATGTGCAGTAGTAAATAGAATTCTGATGCCTTGATAGTAATTCCATTTCATTTTTCACTAAACTGAGAAAGAGGATGTTGCTTACCTTTGTCTCAATTTGTTTGGTGTCTAGATTCTGAAAAAGCAGCTTTACTCTTGTTTTCCCATCATCTGAAGAGCCCTTGAGCTGAGAGAACTTAAACCTCCACAGTACGTTCTAAAGAGGAAAAAATTTGATTGAGAACTCTGTTCCAAATTCTTACATAGAACCATAGATTGATGACCAATGTTTATGTATTAAGATAAAGCATTAGGGCAGTAAACATAGTGCATAATAACAGGCTGGTTGCAGAGCAAATAAAATTAACAGCTCTTTATCATATGCGAAAGCAAAACATATAATATTAATATTCACCAATTAAACAATTATTTAGAAATTCTCTGAAATGTAAATGCTTCAGTTGCCTACATAATATCAAAATCCATGGCAAAAGTTTAATTCTAGAAAGATCCATGAGGATATTTGTATCAGTTTCGCTATGAACGCAATTCCATACCATATCTCTATCCTTCATATTTCAGCTGGCTCATCTGCATAATATAGATAATAATGTCTTACACAGATGCTGCAAAGCTGAATTTACTGACGTGTGTGACGTGGCTTGAAATCCTCAGATAAAATAAGCTATAGAAATGCAAAAATGTTATTATTGAATGCAGTCTCACAAACCACAAAAAATATGCTCTACATTACAGCTGTTTGTAAAATATAAAAGAATTCTAGGCTCCTTGGTCTCCTATAGGTTTATGCATGGCATCTTAATATGGTTGGCAAATCCTAGATTGACAGGTATGTTTTAATACTTACGGAGATACTTTTTAAAAAATAAAAGTGAAATTCTTTTTGAAACCAATGTCATTTTCTGTATTTATTTGAATGTTTTCTATTGATCGCCTGAAAATGCGTAAGTTTGAAAAAACACAAGGTAATAACTCACATCCAGCCTTCCTGGTGATGTTTCCTTAATGCCTTAATGAAAATCTTAATGAAAATTCTATGCACATGTTGAAATGTGATTCAGTCCCTAGACATTGCTGAGGAAACAAAATTTAAATACTTTGAAGGCTCTTTCATAAGCACAAAACAAAAAATGTTTGCTATGTTCCATTTTCCAATATACCTCTTTGCAAAATATTTTTTTCATGCAGACCAGTGTTACTAGTGGTCTTCAGAAGTCTACTCATAGTTTGAAAAGGAATGCCCTATAAATAAAAAGTGTTTGCAGAAGCACACCAAAAGCCTGATTCCATCTCCTGCTTCCCTGCAGACGTAAACATCATTGACTTAGACAATTGTAAGAGATGAAGAAAAAACCAACTATGCAACAGCATTCTGATGGTGCTTAAACTTTACATTCATGAACAGATTTTAACTGGGTCCAGAGGGCCTAATTAGACCACCTGAGAAGTATTCACAGCTTAAATGAGCTTGGATCTAAAGAGGATAGGTGAATGTTCACTATATAACTGCTAGGGTGGAGATAAAATAAGAACTTAGGAACAATTTAGCAATAATAGGCATTGCTGGAGTCATCATCTCTCTCAACAGTTGACACTGAGTGGAAAAGAAAAGAAGTAGATGGCTCTGGAAGGCAGAAGAAAATGCTCACTTTGGGATCCCTTTATCTTAGATGAGCAACTGGAGGTGTAGGATAGGGAACCAACCAAGCCAACTAGTTAAAAAAAAAATCTCTACTATCAGATATAAAGCAGCTGCAGACCAAAAGAGTAAGTCTGTTATGGGCCCCAAATGGTAAAAGCTGAATGAGTTAAGCCCATGATGACCCTGGAACAGAACATGTATGAAATGAAATAATTATTTCAAATAAGTTTAAAAATCCCCCAAAATTGTTCTAGAGAAGAGCTTTCTAAAAGACACACTCCTAAGCAAAAGTTCTTGCCCTTTGTCATTTGTAATAAGAAGACCTTTTTTATATTATTTTACAGACTGTAATAAAGAACATTTTTTAATTAGTATACGAGCTGGTTGCTCAAAATTTGAGATTCAGGCTTAAGAGTCATAGGGTAGATGGAGGACTGGCCTTCATTTTAATAAGCCTGTATGAACACCTGCTGTGGTGTAAGACCATTCTTTACATCAATAGGTGACTGTAATTTGAAATTCATTATCTCCAAGAAAAAATAAGCTTTTCAGCAAAATCTCTGTGTCCTTAATGAACTGTTAATTGCTTGACCACTTCAACAATCTATTTCGAGTTGGTAGAAAATACTCTGAAAAATCTATGAGAAAGTCACATTTAAAGGATTTAAATGGACATCGCCTCTTACACAAATGAACAATAAATATCTTGAGCTCTCCAGAATTTTTACATTTTAACAACAGAATCAATCTATCTGATGTTTTTCTGTATTTCTCCTCAAAAGTTGATCTAAATCCTCATCCTCATCAATACTGAAGGTAGGCACTGTGGCCCAAAGTAATATCTTGGTAATATCTTGGTAATATCTTGGTACTACTGAATACAGTAGGAACAGGATTTTAGTCGTGGCTCATTTTCTGATCTTGTAAAAAGAAGTATCAATAGAGAAGTTTATAATTTTGAAGGTGGGAGTACACCCAATCAACCTCCACATTTGAAAGAAACATTTTATATAGCCTAAACTAATGAGAATACTTTCTATAGCCAATTTGTGGTTAAACACACAAAATGTGTACATTGTGCAAAAAGCACAAGTTCAGAATGCAGTATCACCTGAGAGGGAGAAAGGTATGCAAACATATTTCCTGAAATTTTATGCCACCTTATAGGACAGCACACTTGATGCAATTAGTCTAAATTTTCAAATAACAATGATCTTAGTCACTATTTCTCTGTACAGAGATTTGTACGTTTGGGTCCAAAAACTCCAAAACATCAATACACAAAAACTATTTCAAATATTCAATATTTCAGTATTTCAAAATGAAGTATACATCCTTTTAACTCAGAATGACTGAACGATTTTTTTAATATACGTTGAAAAACACTTTCCATTTGGAGTTGAAGACCATATTTCAGAGGACAGTCCTTCTACTGCACAGGAATATTTTTTGTATGTATGTTTACTTCTACTGGCAAACAAATGTATAAATCCATTTAGAATAATTTGAATTAAAGTATCACTTCAAATTATATATAAAACAGTAGAATGATAGACAGGGCTTGGAAGTTGGTATGTATCATAAACCATCCCCTGTAGGCACTTTATGTATAGTCTCTCTGTTTTGCAAGATAAGTGAATTTAATCTTATAGATTATGAACTTGAAATGCATTTGCCTTTGTTCTGTTTGTTTTAGGCATGGCCTAAATTTCTTACAATGGAAGACTAATTAATCCTATTTTATAGCCATTGCTTCAAAACAAATAGAATCAGGTGACAATTTTTTTCATGACTGGTGATCTTTTAAAAATCTTGATATTTCTGTATTACTAAGAAAACAAGTTCTCTGTTAAACATAACCTTCCTTTGCTTTTATTAGTTGAAAAGGAGATTACTTATTTTAAATCTTTCTCAAAAAATTATCTTTATATGATAAGGCAGAAGTACAATTGTCCCTTTCTAGTCCCAAACTGACTACATTTCAGTAGTGCTCTGTAAATAAAAAGTACATTTGAGGAAGAAATACTCAACATCAACATAAAAAATCAATGTTACTGATCAACAAAAAAATATGGGTAGTGATAACATTGATAACAGTAAAACAAAATAGAGTTTTCTTTTCTTTTTCCTCTTACCTTTGTTTTACTGTCAAAACAGGTAAATCCCAGAGCAAAGTCAACTGTGAAACACAGGGTATCCCCTTGCCAACTGCACATGTATGTTTTAGACTAGAAAAAAGAGAAGCATTATTTTTAAGAGAAGTGAGAACAACCATCATCATCATTTATTATATAAAAATAATATTTTATGCATTTTTTATGGCGGAAGACATTCAGCTGGCAATGCTGGTACCAATCAAAAACTTCTGAATGTAGGTCACTATCAGATCTGTCAGCTATACATTAACTGGAAGTCTTCTATATTTTGAGTCATTCTTCCACAAAATAAATACCATATTCTTGGAAACCAGCCCTTACAAAATGCAACACAGAACAAAGCTACATCTGACTATTTCAAAGCTTTTGGAAAACTGCTTAGATTTGACCTGTTAATAACTCCTGACATAATTTCCAGCAAATATGCAGGTAACAGCGCCTAAATGTTTAGTGACTGCAATCTAATTATGAAAAAGCTATCTGTCTATTTGACCTCTCTGTCTCATTTAAACTTTGTAGACAGTCTTTTTTACTTGGCAACATTTTTTGTAAATTTGGATGACATGCTACAGCACTATGTTAGTTAATGTAATTTAAAAAGAACTACTATCACTTGTTAGTTCACACTGGTACTTGCTAGTTCACACTGGTACTTGCTAGACAGTGCTATAAATACACCAATTCTTTGATCACCTTTCAGGTTAGAAGGAAAAATTCTGTTTTATTAACAAAACCCAGAAGTTCTGTTTAAACTTCAGAATAAGCTTTACAGTAAAACACTAATTAACATTCTTCTTTACATGTGTTTTTAAGGCTAACTAACTTGAGCATATGATGGATTCTGAAAGCACATGAAAGAGCTTCTACTGCTGATACAATGTGAAACAGCTTGATGACATTCACCATTCACAGTTAATGGCAAAAAGCCCACAGCCTTCAGCATGAGTAGAGATCAGATCCTATCTCTATCCCTTCGTCATCAAACCTGACCAGCCATGTTAAAAATGATAGCCTTTTGCTTTATGAAATCTTTGCCTTTTTTTTTTCTGTCAAGGGAGCATTAACTTTGCTGTCATTGATATTCCACAAACTGCAATGTTGTGTCACGCTTAGACATTTGTTTACATGAAATTTTTATATCTGGATAGCTTCTGTAAATGAAAAAAAAGTTTTAACCCTAAAATGGCCTAGACGATATTGAAAGCATTAATAAACTTGGTTAAACTGAAAATTGCCCTTTAAATTGTTTTTTAAAGATTTTTAGTATCATATCAAACTTCTGTATTTAGTAATTGTAAATGTTTCCTCATTCCACTATTAATAAAAATATTTAATTATACTAAAATAAGCATTTCTGATTTACAGATATGACATTTCATAAAGGATTTTGAAAGGGCTGGGAATGGAATTACTTTATTAGTACAGATTAGTATTACAATCAGCTCAACAATGACAGAGATGTTTATTATTTCAGAATAAATTATTTTGCTCATTGGTGTTCAAAGATCATATTATTTGGAATTCAAAATGATTTCAGTGATTGATATTCAATTAGAATGACATTTAAATATCCCTACATTTTATTCAGTAATTATAAGGTGGCATTAAGCACCAGTCATAACTTATTCTCCATTATTTTCCAATTAAAAAGGTTATACTAGCTGAGGTCTGACTAAGCAACGCAATTTTTAAAACGTATTAAATTAGATTCCCCCAATGGGTAAAGATCTAATTGCTCAGCCACAAATGGTGAATACTAAAATGAACTAGTCACAAATGATTAGCCTGAAGTATTTAAAAAAATATTCAATATTTGCAGATAATGGTACTGCTCTGGAAATTATTTGCAGACAAATGCTAGAGACAAATAGAACATGCTGCATTTTCACTGTGATGAACATTGCAGATAGATATGTAAGGTTTATACTTAAAAAAACACTAATAGCTTTTTCTTCACAACAGAATTAGTTTGGGTTTTGCAGTATAAATTTAAAAGCTTGCCTATGGCATTTGCTTCCTGAGCTTGGAAAAGTTCTCTACAGTTCTGTGATAAGGACCCCATCTCTGCTCATTAACGCTATTACACAGCACCATCCCTTTTTCTTCTTGCCTTTGGAATAAGCTTCCCATACGCTTGCCATTGCATGATCACCCTTGGTTATCTACAACAATTGTTTACATGGAAGTTTAACATAAGAAATCCAGGCTTCGCTGTCTTTTAGCGAATTTTACAGAAAAGAAGATAGCACTGCATATTAGCCAGCTTGAGGACTCACAGTTTAAACAACAGAGTGGAAAAAATTAGGTTATTTCAAAGATTTTCCTTACTGACTAGAAATGAGATTTTTCCAGGCTTAGGTCTAATACTAGCTTATCACAAAATTCTTGGGGATTGTAAGTAGGGGTAAATGAGAATCTACAAGGTTATCAACCTTAAGATATGCATGAAAATATTTTCTCATTGCACAGCACCTCTAACAGCCACGTTAACTTACATAGCTCATACACGTATGAAAATTCAAAATGTTAGCGAATGTGGTATAGTGATCATCTTTGGCTTGCAATGCTCCAGACAAGATGTAAAAAGGTTTTCCACTTCTAACCTTGGTGATTCTGAACATTATGGGGGTGTAGACTGGGAGTTTAAGCCTGATGAGATTCTTTAGTCGAAGTATTAAGAATTTAGCTGTTAGAAGAAAGGCCTCGTGCCTGAACTGCAACAGCTCAGAAAATTGTAGTGTACATCCTAGATCACTTGTTTAATGTTTTCCAAGAAATGGAGAAATGATCTGTAGAATAATTAATTGTAATAAAAGACAATTACAAATCTCTTATCTGTATAATTGCTCAGGTATCAGTATCTCAATGCAAATACCCTTAACTCATGAAAAAATCAGTAAGTTGATAATATGACTCTCCAAATCGGGGAAGAACAGTGTTTCTGACTCATTCACAGAAAGAACCTCTCAGATTTCCTGTTCCCATGCAGAAGCATGGCACTGGTCTATCTTTGACACTGGTACCTGTCCTCCCAGACTTTGAGGGCTTAATAATTGCAACGACTAGACATATACACTCACTATTTTTCCCACAGACATAGAAATTTCCCAGAAATAATGGCGCTCTGATCTATCCTCTTCATTTAGCAGACCGTCTCAGGATCCTGGAGCTCCTGCACTCCTGATGGCAGGTTCCATTGGAGCAGAACCAATGGGTGTTCCTGCTGCTTCTTTGGGCAGACTTGTGGTGACCAGCATGACACTATCATGCTAGCAGTGCACTGTAAATGTAGGCACTATCATGCAATAGTAACATCATTATGCACTAATTAGCAGTATCTCACTGGGAATACCGGTCTTGAGCAGCCCTGAGCACATGTACTCTCTACCTATCTTTTCATGCCTCCACACTGAGTCTCCTTCACCAGAGTAGCTCATGTGAAAGTGAACAAGCCTCTTTGCCCCAAAAGCAGAAGGGAAAGGTTAAAAGCAGTCCACAGCTTTTCCTTCTTGCTACTGTAATTTCTGCCTCTCCTCAGCAAATCGCTGATACAAAGCTGAACTCTCATCTGTGCAAGAACTGCAGGGGACTGAGGTTCCTGGAGGGGAGTAAGAGGCTGGGTAGGGCAGAGAGTTAGGAAAAAACCCTGGAAGCTAAATGATGGAGAAAGAGGGCCTTTATCTAGGAGCAGGAGGTGTCGGTGAGAGTGTGTAAGTAGTACCCTTCTACTGCAGCCTTCAGGATGAAATGTTTCATTTACCCTAGGGCAAGATTTCAGCCCTCTGACAAGGTCTCATCAGGTGGTCAGTAGTTTGTCTTTCACTTCCACCTACAAAACTCTTGATACTTCCACCCCAGCATGATACTACAGGTAACTAATATAATGAATCTTGGGGAACTTAGTAATTTTTGTTGTTGTTGTTGTCCTTATTCACATCAATTATTATCTTCCATGACTATGCACAGATCTTGGAACACACAGAAGGTAATTAGTATTGAAGGCTTGGGTCAATTACCTTTTAATGGAAAAATCAGAAAGGCTTCTTTCATTTTTTTTTTTCCGTATTTTTTTACAATAGGGAGAGGACAAAGGACAGATTGCTTCAGTACTCTAAAACAGAAAATGATGCAGGATTCTGTCTAACAACGAGAAGAGACTTTAAAAATATGCTCAATATGCCAAATAATTTCAAAACTGGCTTTTATTGTCATCAGTTATGATGACTCCCTCAGAAGGAGGGAATGTGTTTATGAACAGATATTCTAGTCTAACAAGAAGGACTTTAAACATAGTTCATGGGTGTTAGGTACCCAAGTCAAAAGGTGAGTAAATGCTAAAACTGGAGAATGGACACATGGGAAAAGACTACACGAGGGAATTTATTAATTCCACTCAGAGAAGGCACACATATACCTCAAATATCTGTACAATGAGAGACAGAGTCTGGGCAACAAACACAGAGGGAGACCATTTCATGTGTAGTCACTGGGCTATGGCACAGTTGGAAGCACAAAGACTTGGTGAATAACAGGCACTATAACAGCACACAAACAGGCTGCTTAGGAAGCAGATGCAAGGAAGAAAAAGATGACCTCTCCTCTTGAGTTGCCTTCTATATGTAGGGGTCCTTGGCCACACAGGGCCATAGTATGACACCAGAAGGAAGGGAGCATGGCCACCGGATCAGAGATCTTCTGATTTCAGCACAGAAGTGTGGTTCTCCCAGATTGGCTGAACCCAAAGGTAAGTTTGGTTGCTTCAGGGACTGTGCAGTCTCAATGCTTCTAAATAAATCTGGACATGCAATAGTTTTTTGCGGTTACTGGAATATGAGCTTATTGAAATGCTTTAGCTGAGAGGTCTAATTTTGCCAAAGTCCTGTCATAGGCCAATGTAGTACCTATGAATTTTTTTCAAGACATACAATCTTTTAATGTTACTCTGATGTCAGATTGTATTCTGTTCAAGAAATAGGGATTCCACTTGTTTATGTTTTTCAGTAAAATTATTTAAAATCACAATTGCTAATAAAAATCTGTCAGTTGAGATGTTACATTCTGAGATCATCAAT